TCGATTTTCGGCGAATTAAATTAGTGGATTGGCGATTTTATCACTTTTTCAAATATTATTTTTCTCGTTACGGAACTAAATACTATTTGATACAAAAATATAATCAACTCTACAAACCTCCAAATCGTTTTGACTAGAAGATTCATTATTGCAAGAAAGAAATTTTGATTGATATCGACATAGACAAATATGTTAAACTCCATTCTTATGACGGAACACCTTATTGTATATTAGGCGATGAGACTTTAATCTTTCTTGAATCAAATAAATTTAATGATTATCAAAAAAAAAATATGATGTTTGTGGGGATTTTACATATTGTGCCATGTGCTTTTACGATTTTCACAGAGACGATATATCTGAAACTAAAGGAATATTTGAAAAAGTGATACCCGCGATTGACATTGGAAATTTTATATGTTATTATATAAATAATTGTATTAATTGTAGAGAAGGTATTCTATCGTCAAATCAAGATCTATATAAAACAAAATGCAGAAACTATTAAATATTTTATAAAAAATAAATATTCGAGTTCTGTTCAGTATTTACCGAACAGAAAATTATTTCATTGATTTATCATGGAACAAAAAAAGGATTTTACCTTTATTAAATACGATCATAATGAGAAAAGAAAAATTAAGCGACAAAAACTTGATCCGTATTTTAAAAAGAATATTAGAACCAAAAACAAACAGAAATTCGTCTCTTTATTTGATGATATATTATATATAATATTTTTTTTTTTAGCTCCTTCCAAACTCAAGCTCGATAATCTAGAAACTGGTGATTTTCGAAAACTTAAGTTCATTTGTCGCACATTTCGGTGTTTTTACAACTATTATTTTAAACACTATGCTACCAAGTATTATCTTATGCCAAAACACATTACTCTTCACTCTATAAAAAAATACAAATGGAATATACGATATTGCCCCAAGACTATTTGGATCGATGTTAAGATCGATGATAGGATTCAGAGACATAAATTACGATCATATTTTTTTAATAATATACCCAACGATAATGAATTACATGTTGAACTAAGTCAATTATCAAACATCACAAAGATTTTACTATTTCTTGATTCCTAAACATATCTAATATATGGGAAAACTACATGTGAAGCATGCTCTTTGTTCACATATTGTGAAAAATATGTTTACACTTTCTACTGGGACACCCCTTCAACTTGTCAATCGCTTTTGGATGCTTTAACAAAACCAACCAGCAGCGATTTTTATTTAACGTACAAAGTAAATCTTTGTGAGCAATGTGAAAAATATTTCACAAATTTGTTTATATGCCAGGACTACAACGCTCTCTTAGATTCACAAACTTGATAAAGAATACCAAAAATTATTTGTTTATTATTTAAAATAACAATTATAATTTTTATTAAATGTTAATAGTTCGATCAACTTTACCTTTGTGACCAATGTAAAATTATTTTATACATTTATTTGTTGAATGGAAATTGCTATAATAAAGGAATTGGTTCGTCTTCCAGAACACAATTCAATCAAATTTTGTGATTCAATATAAAAACTATTTCCTAATTTATTTATGTAAATTCACAAATTTGGAAATTGCTATGATAAAAGAATTGGTTCGTCTTCCAGAACACAATTCAATCATTTGTGACTTAATGTAAAAACTATTTCCTAATTTATTTACAAATTGGAAATTGCTATAATAAAGAAATTGGTTCGGTTTTTGAAAAATTTCGGAGGAATCCCATAATTTATTTTTCAGATTTAAATATATATAAACCTTAGTATTTTACTAAGAAACAAAAAAAAAAAAGGGGTTTTGAAATCGAGATTGGTTCAAATCTATCTTTGTGTTTGATCGAGTTGCAAAAGCTTTTTTTCTGTTTTTCACTATTATATTTCACATTTATTATGTATAAACGACCTAATCAGTCTAAGACCGATTAGATTTTTCTCTATACAATTTTCTTCCAAAAAGAACTTGTTTAATCAAAACATTAGAGGAATCTCATAATTTATTTTCAGATTTTCATATAGGTAAGAGAAGGATCCTAACTCGTATATATATCTGAAATTTAATTTCGCTTGTTATACTAACTCTTACTTGCCACTTTTTAATCTGAACGATCGCTCACGTGCTTTTTTCATTCTTCAGAATGCCTTTAAAATATTTTTATATTGTTCTAATTGGTCGCACACCTGGGGTTTACAACACTTTAGAGGAATGTGATGAACAAGTGAACAATTTTTTATCATCATATTACAAAAAATTTTTAACAATAGAAGAAGCTAACGAAGAATTTGAAAGATACCAATCAAGAATTAAAAGAAAGAAAGAAAAATTAAGTTCTA